AAAGCAGCCTTCTCTTAAGTAAAATTTAAAAATTTTTTACTTAGTGATACAATTACTTGAAGATCTTCCCTAGGGTTTTGTGTCCTATTTTAGTAACAAATGATTAGCTTCTTCCAAAGATGCTCCTAAAATCGGCTTTCAAAAGAAGCAAAAGAAACTTGTAAAATACCAGAGGGAAGAGGGGAAGAGCCTGCTTGTAAGGCGCCAGTAACCTCATCTGGAAAGTAATTTCATGTGTTAGAGAGGTGATTCTCCTCTCTCGTCTGTGTGACAGTCTAACAAGAATCTAACAGATTCATCTCGCAACTTGAACAAGTTACAATAGCCGCAGGGAGTGTTGGCAATTTAGGGGTTTTAGGGGAGACGTGAATGTCTGAGGTGCATTTTTTTCCTCTCCGTCATCTTGGACTTCTTGAGAAAACCATCATATTCTCTCACCCTGGGAATCTGCCCAAGTGAGGGCTTCTGAGTATTTCTTGATTGAAATTAAATCTTTGACTTGCTATATGAATTACCTACTTGGGATGAAGTCATATTGAAATTATTTATGGGTAGATGACCAGCACCGGCATAAAGCAAGGTGATGATGGGAGCAGCTATAGATTTTGACACAAATCGATGGGTGGCTTTCACAGAAACAGAAGTAAAAAAAAAATCAGTGAATTGGTGCGGCCACTATGAAAAACAGTATGGAGGTTCCTCAGAAAAATTAAAAATAGAACTGCCATATGACCCAGCAATTCCACTTCTAGGTATTTTTTGAAAGGAAATAAAAATGGGATCTTGAAAACATATCTGTACCCCTATGTTCATTACAGCATTATTCACAATAACCAAGATATGGAGACAACCTGAGAAGTGCTTATCAACAGATGAATGGCTAAAGATGATGCGACATGATATCTGTGTGTGTGTGTGTGTGTGTGTCTGTGTGTCTGTGTGTCTGTGTGTGTCTGTGTGTGCGTATATATTCGGCCATGAGAAGGAAGAAAATCCTGCCATTTGCAGCAATGTGGTTGGACCTTGAGGGCATTATGCTAAGTGAAATAAGCCAGGCAAAGACAAATACTGCATGATATCGTTTATATGTGGAATCTTAAAAAAAGAGAGAGAGAGGGAGGGAGGGAGGGAGGAAGGGGAGGAAGGAAGGAAGGAAGGAAGGAAGGAAGGAAGGAAGGAAGGAAGGAAGGAAGGAAAGGGAAAGAAAGGAAGGAAGAAATGAAAAGAAAAGAAAAGAAACTCATTAAACAGAGTAAGGAATAAAACTCGTAGAACTTCGCTCTAGAAATAGAGTAGAAAAGCGGTTGCCAGGGGCTGGGGGCTGGCGCTCGGGGCGGAAACAGGGGGAGGTTGTTAAAAGGGTACGGACTTTCAGCCATAAGATGAATTAGTTCTGAGAATCTAATGTAAAACATGGTGACTTGTATAGAAGTAGAATTTAAATGTTCTCACACACACACACAAAAGATCAATACATGAGACGGTGGATGTGTTAACCAGATGGGGGGAATTCTTTCGCAGTGTATAGTATATAAAATTACCATGATATACACTTTAAATATTTTACATATATGTCAGTTATACCTCAAAAAATCTGAAATTGAACCCGTTTCCCATTTGCCCTGAGAATACACAACGGTGGCGTTTGCAGCTGCAGCATTTACCCCGTGATAAGTCGCAGATTCCAGTCCTTACCCCCAAAGTTTGCCACGAAAATCTCACTTTCATTATTTTTCCATCGCTCTAGTATATCAATAGTCTTTGGAAACAAATCACATCATTCTGTTTATGGCATTCTGTTTTTAGTAGTGTTATTTCCATTTACAAACTGCTGTAATTCTCGGTCGCTGAAAATGTCAAATCCTAGAAAACGTAACATTCTAACGTGTGACATTAACATAGTCCCGAACAGTTAGCCAAAGATTCATTTGATGAATCCAATTGATGTATACATTTCTGTTACATTAGGATTGGAAACAGGTTCTGTTTAGAAATAACTCCAAGAACAGTTTTTATATGTAATTTTCACATTGAAAACCAGTCAGATTTGCTTCAGCCTCAAAGAGCGTGTTTATGTACAATTAATGCTGGCAGTGAGTTGCACTTTTTTTTCTAAATGAGAAATAGGTTAAAAAAAAAAAAAGAAACCAATAGACTAAAAGAAATGAGGGGGGAAAGAAGTATAAAATCAATATCTAATCTTAAAATCTGTCTCTTGCCCTGGAATATTAAAATAAACCTTATGTTTTCATACAACATAAAAAGTATCCTCTAGGGCTGGCTGAAGTTGGCACTGTGTTTTCATACAAATCTGAGAGTATCCATCTTTTGTGGAGCCATCTACGTATATGGTTGTCATGGCTCTTTATTGATTTTCCTACATTGAATCACAGATTCATAAAGCATAGGTTGGTAAAAACACTTTACATGTTATCAAGGCCTTTGCTCTAGCCAATAATTGGCCAGCCAGTCTTTGCTTGAATAATTCAAAGAGAGAGAACCGTGTTTGCAAAGCACCTCGATCCATTTTCTGAGAATGTTAATTATTGTTTTATTTTTGTGTGTGTCAAAATCTTTCTCTATAACTTATGAGTCCCCTGTTCTTGATTCTTGTTGAAATCAGCTACTGTGTTCCTCCCTATCCGTGTACCCATATACTCAAGTGTTCCATCCACTTCCCATTTAACATAGAAATGTTTGAAATTCTTAACGTTTCAAAATCTGGGTTCATCTGTACCCCTTAGTCTGGTTCATACAGTAGGAAAGCAGTTGCATGCTTTTCTCTTCATGGTAATTCCTCTCGGTTGGCCCCGTGGAAATCTCGCACCGGCCTGCTTTTCGCTGCTGCCCCCACCCCATTGCCATCTGCGGCCTCGCCCAGTGACGATCATGGTTTGATAGTGAGGAATCCTGGGGAGAGCAAGCTCATCTCTGCTCCTCCTGCTGCCAGACCTACTAGCACCAGCCCAGCCACTCCAGGGCTCTGCTGGGTGTCAGCCCATTTTCTATCAGGTGCTCACGCACCCTCATAAGTGAGAAGTCAAGAAAATACCTTTATTTGGCTGAATTCTAAACTAGGGCATTTATTTGCTTTGTTTTGCTATTCATTTTATAATCCATCCAATGTTCCAATGGATACTCTCTGATGTCTATGGAATTTAATATTTACCATGTTGAATGACATCTTTATGAGGACCCATTATTAAAAGATGAATTAAGGACATGATTTGTACTTCCGTTTGGACGCTGGAGTATCACGTGGCACCTGTGCTAGTGCACGATGCAGTATGCTCAGCAAGATCAATACTCGTTAACTCTTGGACTTTAAAAAAAACAACCTTTAGGCAAACCTAAAAACAAATTATGGAGGATATCATTCTCTGAGGTTCTTAAGAATTATTGAAATTTTTATGCTGCAAAGGAATTTGGTTCTGAAAAAGACTATGTTGAATTTTTTTGGTGCGGGGAGGGTTATGGAGATGGGTTACACCCTTGACAAGAAGTCTCAGAGGAAATTGAAATAAGCAGTTGAATGAGAGTAAAAGTGTCCTTATTTTCTTAATCAGACAAACAAAAAGCTGGGGGTCATTATAAGAGGTTCTATCAGGTGTATTTTCAGTCCAATAAAACCAGAATCTTCTCTCTAGACCTTAGAAAGAAACTGGAAGTTGATCCGCGATGAAGGCCTTTCAGTGATTGATAAAGCCAAGGGCCTCTTCCTATCTGAAGATGAAAACCTTAGGGAGAAAGGCGACTGGAGCCAGTTTACACTGTGGCAGCAAGGTGAGCCCCTGACTTCTAGACTGTTTTCTGCAGCCAGTGGCTTATGGGAAGTGGGACATGAGTCTGGTGACACTTCCCAGACCCAGGATTCCCCGACATACGGGAAACTGCTCAGAAAAACCTCAATCGTTAAAATTTATTCATTGTTTTTTTTAAAATGACATATGAACGCTTATGTATGTGAGTGTACATGTAAATATATGTGTGTATGTGTGTGTATACTCAGGTGTGTTTGGATAAATATATATGCTAGTATTTTGATTTTCCTGGTCTTTCCTATTAAACAATAAGTTACCAAGAGTATCCCTACTGTGTAGGCATACCTGTAGAGTCTACTGTGTGCTCATCAATGCCTTCAAAGACAGCTTCCCTGAGATTCATTGCTTCTATAAAATGGAGATGACGTTGCATGCCAAAATGATATCACTACGAGTAAGAGTTGTTAGAGATAATAACACACCAGAGTGACAAGACAATAATTGCTGGCACCTGAGCTCTTTGAGACTAGGGAGTGCTTCATAGTCAGCCTCATATTCTTTGAGCTGAACTCAGGCCCAGACACATAAACGGAGAGCTGATATGTGTGCGTGTTCAATGAATTAATATATCAATGTATCCTTAAAATCAGGAGCATTGAATTTTATCTTAAAAGCTCTTTCCACTTCTCTTCTTGAAAAGTCAGGCTAACCTGGATTAACAATAGCTGTATGAAAGTCAATCCATTCTGAGAACCAAACAGCACATGTTGCACAGCCTGAGCTGCACAAAATAAATTGAGAGGGTGATAAGGAGTTGGTTTACATTCAAGGACAAATAAACAGTCGTTTATCTCAGTTGTGCTTTCAGAGTGGTTTACACATAAGAGAAAGAACTACTCTAGTGAAATTTTCAAGGAAATGTCCATCAGGAGAAGAGATCACATGATTTCAAATGATTCTGTCAGCTTTTTGTCAACAAGATTTTTTTAAATGGAGCAGTAAGGTCTATATGTGAACCGTATGCTCATTTTATCTATTGACATTTCACTAAAACGAGTTAATTGTATTGGCCTTAAGCATTGACCAGTTCATCTGATGCCTCAGTTCCATTAACATTCTTATGCTTCATAGAAGTTATTGGGCTTCCTAGAACAATGCTTTAGAATAGCATGCAAATAGCTATTATTAACCCAGGTAATTTCTAGAATCCAGAGTCTCTGCTAAAAATAGGTGCTTTGATAAAGTTGAAATATGCAAAGAATTATAGGGCATATAAGAGTATTAAGCAAGGAAGAAAGTAACAGAAACATTTTGATTGAAGGCAACATTTTGACTTTAAGTGTTTTGCTTATTTTTAAAAGAACTTTTAATTGTGGCAAAATACACATAACCTTAATACACCATGTAACCATTTTTAAGAGTACGTTCAGCAGTGTTAAGTATATTCACATAGTCGTGCAACCAGTCTCTAGAACTTTTTCATCTTGAGCACCATGGAATTGTTGTTGCAGCCTGCCCTCACAATCACGTGCAAATAGTTAAAACTACCGATGGCAGTTCACGAAATATCCATCTTCTACTTCACAGCTTCTTCCTCTACAGGGAATCTGTGTTTACAGAGTAGAAAGACATTTATGTGTCTAAATAGCCAGCTAATCCAGTCCTGACTGAGTGGCAATTTTAGTGACACATCCATTAAGTTACCCATTCATTACCTATCATTCAGGTAAGACAGATACACCTGTTCTCCAAGGGGCACATGCTCAGCCCTCACCAGTGTGCCTGTGGGAAGGACAGCCACCTCTGGGAGCTCCTTAAGCCACCAGCCTTCATGTAACCGCTGCCTGAACAGCACAGAACCCAGACTTGGGGAGTCTTGCCAGGCTGTCCCCAGATCTTACATATGGGAAGGCATGGAAAGCTAGGGCTTAAAATTGCTTTATGATACTTTCATAGAAATCTGTTTATTCAAACTGACATTTATTATTCAACTCATTGTAGGTACTCCATTAATAACTAAGAATAGCAACTAACATTTTGCTCAAGAGGCAAAAAGGTTACTTAGAAAAAGCTAATGTAGACATAGAAGCTGTTTTCAAAGTATCGAGGCCCATTTGAGGAGAATACCTCTAAGTTGCATTTCTTGTAACTGTCATTCTCAGTACATGATTATTTTAGGACACAACTAACATTTGTTAAAGAAAATTAAACTCAGCTCTAGATGTAGCAGTCTCTTGTAGGAATCTTGAATAGGGAATGAAACTGTTTCTATCTTTTAAAAAATCTATCGTTTCCTCCTCCATGAGAGCAAATGATGCTGTGTACATTCCCGAGCACATCTTCCCTAAGAAACAAATGCCATTTTGTAGATGATGAAGATGCATAAGACTGTGTACCCAAATCTATGTTCCTGACACAGCTACTCATGAAAAACGTCATCTCCAAAGACCTCCTCCCCTTCATTTAAATCCTATTCTTTGTCAACATATAAAGGGCGATCTGTACATTGAAAGATACATTAAATTCCAGTTAAATATAATGTTTAGGTAACTCTTTAATATACTCCTAGAAATGCATTTTTAGATTAGAAATAGAAGCTATTTTTCCTTCCATAGCAAGTATATTAGTTTACTGTGGCCGCTGTAAAAATTACCACAAACTTAGTGGCTTATAATGACACAAATTTATTGTCTTCACAGTTCCGAAGGTCAGAGGTCTACAGTGGGTCTCACTGGGCTAGAAAAGTGTCATCGGGGCTGCATGCCTGTGGAGACTCCAGCTCCTTGAGTCTCCCCCATACACACACACACACACACACACATTCATTGGCTTATAGTCCCTTTCCATCTTCAAAGCCAGCGCTGGCCAGTCAGGTCTTTCTCATTCCGTATTACTCTGACACTGACTCTTCTGCCTCCCTGTGCCACATTTCGTAAGGACTCTGAGGTTACACTGGACCCATCCAGTTAATCCAGGATAATCTCCTTATTTTAAGGTCCGCTGTTTAGAAATCTCGGTGTCATCTGCAACCCTTATTTCCCTTCGCCATGTGACATAACATATTCATAAGTTTCTGGGCTTGCGATATGGGCATCCTTGGGAGGGGACCATGATTCTGCCTGCCGCGGGGGAAAAGTAAATATTCAACCCGCGCCTTGTCCATCAGACATCCTTAGTCAAAGAGGCCACCGGTGAGTGGGGAATTTTAGTCCTTGTCCTGCCAGTCGCTGTCTATTGGAGCAGGACACACTGTCATCTTGTGTGTACTCAGCCTTCTCTTTCCTACAGTGAATATGACGATATAAGTCACCTGTGGTCAAAACGGGGCGGATTAAAGCTTTCCTGTGATTCGTTTCTAACAATGGTTTTATCATTCATTGTTCTAGGAAGGAAAAATGAAAACGCCTGTAAAGGAGTTCCTAAAACCTGTTCTTTACTAGATAAGTTCCCTGAGACAACAGGATGCAGAAGAGGACAGGTACCAAGAGTGTTTTTCATTCTGGGAGGAATACAATACCTGTTAGCAATAAGGGAATGCTGCCTTTTGCAAAGAAACAGTTATTTCCTTTGCCCCAACGAGTGCCTCTCTTTTCACTCTCTTTTAATGAAACAATTTTATATGGTTGATGTCAGAATGGAAGGTGGAAAGTGTTCAGAGTGTACAGCTTTGTGGAATATGGGAGTACTTATTTTTAGTTCCTTCTCAAAGAAAAGACGAGAATATTAATTCTGAGCCTTACAAAAGGCTCTAATCCAAATTGACAGTAATTTTGGACTGTCACTTTAATTTAGCAGTTCCCCCACACCTTGATAAGTGGAAGAACGGTGTGTTATATTTTCTGCACAGATCAAATATTCCGTCATGCACCCAGGAACTCACGTGTGGCCGCACACGGGGCCCACGAACTGCCGGCTCCGAATGCACCTGGGCCTGGTGATTCCCAAGGAAGGTTGCAGGATCCGATGCGCCAACGAGACCAGGTATGTTTGCTCCCACCGTCATTACCTCTTATCCATCACCTCTGAGGATGGATGTTTGTCATTGTCACAGCAAAGTTCTCTTCAGTTGGCTTCTTTCCATTTCTTTGTAACTGAAGCAGACTGGGGTGGGTGATGTTAATCCGGACTCTTTAGTCTCTGTCCCTTTTCTTCGTCCTTTCTGTTGGTCTGGAGCTACTCCCCAGGTCCAGGGCTGCCTCCTGTAGTGATGATTTCCCCAGAGTGCTTGCATCTGGTCGACGAGCCTTCTCGCTTCTTTCTAGATGGATAGCCTTGCACTCAGAGACAGCTAACCTGTACTGAGCTCCACACCACTTGAGTTATTAGCAAAACAAAGAGTCCCCTTTCTGAAGAAAACACTCGGTGATATTTATGTTTTGCTCTAGAGGAATCAACATGGTGCTGTGGAAGTTGGCTGTCTTTAGCTCAGCCACCTAATCCTGGGTCACCTTAGCCAGTTGCTCAATCCCCTGGAGCCTCAGCCTCCTTGCTTATAAAATTGGCAATGGTACTATCTGCTTTGCAGGATCATTGTACGGATCAAATGAAATAATCCCTGCAGGACACATGGCCCGTATCCTAGTGTGAGTAGAGACGTGGCGGACGTTAGGGCCTCTTCTCCCCGTGCCTTTTCCTGGTCTAATCTTCTTACTCCCTGCACCTAGAATGCCCCTCTTTTCACCCATCCAAAGTAAACCAGTTTAGTTGCATCAAGAGCAATCTGTCTTCTGACTTCTTAAGTGTGTATAGTGTATATTCTCAGTAATCCCATTCTTTATCTTCCATTGCTCTTTATTCATTCGTGTGTAATTGCCTAATTGCTGTGACCGGGCTGTGAGCTCCTGGAGAGCAGAAACCAAGCTGTTGTCTTCCTGTGCGTTTCTCATGGTCCTTCATGGAGGGCCGGTGGAGACGAGTGTTCAGGAGTGCACAGTCGTTCGTTTGGTGCTGGCAGATTCATCCCCGCCCTGGCAGGGCACAGCAGCACTGAGTGCTGTGGGAGATTCGGAGGTGAATCAGGAGAGGGCCTCCCACGCGTGGCTCATCCGGGAGGTGACACAGGCCGGGGTGTCGTGAGTCATAGGGGAGGCACACCTAAGAATGCTGCAGATGAGTCCGCAGACACGTAGCTCATTTGTTTCTGAGGCTGAGAATCTCGACAGTGGTGATTTGTAAAGACAAGGAAGATTTGGACTTTGAAAGCTAGGAGAGAAGGGCATTTCCTGTGCAGATACTGAAAGAACAGCATCTGCAAAGGCACAGAAGCCAAAAGGGATGCCACATATGAGGAACACTGAGTGATTTCAGCAACCAAGGATATAGGATACTGTGAAAAGGTGAACTGATGCACATTAAAATTTTCAGGAGCTTATTTGGCAGCATCAGACCAAAGACAGGAGCGCTCCACCAACAGGACCTTGGGGCAAGGATTTTACAAAGTAGATGCCAAAGCAAAGCAAAGGAATCGTTTGACTGGTTATAGCACAGCGGCCTCCTTATGTGGGAAAGCGTGGTTGGCTGTTTGTGATTGGTCGTCCTCAGGTTTCACTCTCTCAGATTTGAGTGCTTTGACTCCGGCTTAGGCTTTGGTTTGCTTACGCAGGCTACCAACACATCAGGCCACCTCAGTCTAATAGCTTCCTTGTTTAAATATTTAAACAGTATGTATAAAATAAGCCTTGGAAAGTTAAAGAATGGATTAGAAGCTAAATAATGGGAGGCTTTGATACTAGACTAATGGGATTAGACCTTTGTTATATAATATATGATGGGATCAGCACTTTGTAAGAAGTTGTTCTGGAAGCCATGAGTGAAACCAATGGAGGAGATGAGATGAACAGGTAACAGATGAATACCTGTCACAGCGGCTCACCCAGGGACAGCTGGGATGCTGGAAGGAACGGGAGGGTAAACAGCAGGTGTAGGATATATTTTCAAGATCTATACAGATGAATCTCGAGCGTGCGTGGTGCAAGGAGGAGAGAAGTCCAAGACGGCTTGGCCGCGCCCATTCTGGTCAGTAAGATGGTGTTGATGTTTTAGCAAATACTAAGAGCTTGAGAGGCATGAGGCAACTTCAAGGAATGGAAAATGAGTTCAGCGTTGGTATATATTTACTTAGGCTGCCCTTGGAGCACAGTCACGGAAATAGTGAAGAATCGGCTGGATGTAGAGGCCTGGAGCTCAGGAGAGAAGTCAAGTCTAGACATAAAGGTTGAGAGGCAGACTTAGCAGGAGGTTCTAGGGGAGGCTTGAGAATCCATGAACACATGGACAGTTATAAGGCCGAAACGGAAAGGGGAACCCAAGCGACGGGGCAGCAGGGGCCAGAGACGGGGGGCTAGGAGGAGGAGTCAGAGCTGGCTGGACAGGCAGAGGTTTCCTCCAGGATGGAATGGATCTCGTCAAACCTTTGGGGACCCAATTTGGGTCTGTGGGGTCTTTCTGCCAAAGGGAAGAGAGGCGGGGACATGGCGGGGGACCCTGGAAATGCAGAGAGGAGATGGGGTGATTCTGTGGAAGGCAGAGATTAACAAGGCCAAATCCTTAGAGATCAGACAGGAGCCATGAGGCAGTAAAGGTGGGGAAGAGGCCAGGCCTCACTTCTCAGTACCACGTTAGGGTTTCGGACTTGTCGTTTGCTCTGTTTCTTCTTCCCTCCTTCCCCGCTGCCCTCTATTTATTTTAAAAATCTCCTATCTGTTCTTCTTGTAGATATTTCGAGGGGAAATCACGAGATAAAAATAAACAGAAATCCACTTAGGAACAGGCGGGGAGAGGGAGCTGTACGGGGCTGATCCTGCTCCTCAGAGGCCTGAGGCGGAGAGGAGCCCAGGTTGAAAGAAGAGGTGCGACAGTCGAGTAGGGGCGTAGGGGGGCCACCAGAACCTGAGCGAGAAGCCAAGGAGCGTTCGAAATGCAGAAGCGACCATGGGAGACCTGACTCCACATCTGCAGGTGATTCCGCACCCAGGCTCCCAGCAAACACCAGGTTACCATGCTTGGCAAAGGAAACGACTGCCAGCCCTCAAGTTCAGAACGTGATTAGGGTGGCTGTCTCCACCTACCAGAAATAGGGACTCCATAGCCCCCATCCCGCAACTCGCTTGGAGGGTGATCTTGAATGAGAACATGAACTTGGCAGCGCCTCCGTTTCCACTGTGCTAGAGGACCACCTACTTCACCTGACAGTTAGTACCTGCCGATAACAATAATTTGCAGGTGGTATATTTGGCACAGTGATTATTGAAAAGTACTTGCCACCCAACTACATATTGTTGGGCCAGGGAGGCGACTTTGTAGAGGTTGAAACGCTTCACGCTCTCGTGTCCTTGAAGAGCCGGTAAACATTGGTGCCTCCCGGCTTCATTCCGGTTGCTGCTCAGCATCCTCCTCCATGTCCCTCCTGTTGTCCTCACTTTATGTTGTGTCATAGTCTCATCCGGAATAATCCTAAACTCGAGGGTGGTTGGGTCAGGCTAAGTACTTTGTTACAAACAGAATGTTTTTCATAAGAGAAATGGGTCAATTAAATTAGACTGCTGTGTAACGCTTCTAGTGAAAATAGTTAGACATCTGTAGAGCAGACAGTTTATGAACTCTGAGGACAGAAAGACTAGAATATGAAATCTGGATGTCTCATGCTGTTATTGCAGAAGTTCTTATTAGTATGGAAAGAGAAGCACGTATGTCAAGAAATCGGGCTTCCTCGTGCCAGGTGACAGGGAGAGATGTTTCAGAGCTTCTCAACTTCCACAAGAGTCGGTTACTTGTAGCAATTTGTGCATGGTCGTTCTTGGGGATTAATAATCACATTGCTATTTCTCTAGCACTATGCGATTCCTGCTCGCGTGCATGTTTAAATACGCCATCACTACAAAACATAGCACCGCTTCATTTATCTGAGCTTGCAAGTATGCAGCCTTTTATCACTATAAATAAGATGATCATTTAAAATTAATAAATGCTTTCTGATTGCAAGACAGATGCATGTTCCTTGTACATAATTTGTAAAACAGAGAAGCACAATAAAATGAGACTAATGTGCTACCTACTACGCTAACGAGGCACCTGAGAAGCGCAATAATAAAATATTGATCTTGGTACTCAGAGATATTGCCCAGATACTTCTCACTACCTATATATGTACATTCCTGGAGGCGATAAAGAACAATAATAAAATATTCTATGTTTACCATGGGGAAAGCACAGTTCAAAACACACTACATACATTAACTCATTATTCCTCACGACAATCCTATGGGATTATTAAAATCTCATTTTATAGCCAAGGACACTGAGATGCTAAGTAACTTCCCCAGGCTCAGCTTCCTCAGTAAGTATTGATGTTCGTATTAGTTTCTTGGGACCACCATAGCAAATTACTACAAACCTTACTTGAAACAACAGAAATTTATTCTCATAGTTTGGAGGTCAGAAGTCTGAAACTGGGTATCAGCGGAGCTGGCTTCTTCTAGGGGCCGTGAGGGAGAGCCCATTCCCCACCTCCCCCTGGATTCTGGCGGCTGCTGGCGTCCCTCGGTGCTCCTCAGTCCTCGGCTCGCAGATGCTTCTGTCAGCCTCGCCTTCTCCCGTGTCTTCTCCCTGTCTCGTTCCTTTTAAAGACATTTATTGTGGATTTAGGGCTCACTCTGGTCCAAGATGATCTCATCTAAGATGTTTATCTGAATATCAACTGCAAAGACCCCTTTTCCAAACGTGGTCACATGCACAGGTTCCAGGCAGACACACTTTTTGGCGGAGGCCTCCACTCGGCCCACTACGATCGTGGAACCAGGTTTGGTCCCAGGCGGTCTGGCTTGGAAGTCAGTGCTCTTAGCCTCAACCCCAAAGCCTCGCTATGCAGAGGTTGGAAGTCAGTGCTCTTAGCCTCAACCCCAAAGCCTTGCTGTGTAGAGATTTTGTGCTTTGGGTTTTGTTGTTGCCGTTTTCAAAATCAAGATCCTGCTATACTTACAAGG